CAAGTGGTGACCCTTCATTCTTTACCGACGAGGCCAAGTAATTTTCTTAGATAAAAATTTGGCTCTACGTAGAAGGCCATCAAAACCCTCGTTCTCATGACTTGGAGCTTAAACAAGAACCCCCTTATCCTTCACATACAACCTTGTGGTGGTCGAATTAAAAACTTAGAATTTATTTTTCAGGCGACCATCTCTTCCTCGTTAAAGCCTAGGTGAGTGGCTCTAACACTTAAAACTTTTTGAGCTCACAAACTCCGACCAGCTTGAAATATCTAAACTCCCTCGAACATGGCCTCCCCGAACGATATCTCCACTCCACCAACCTCCATCAATTCCCACATCATCTTTGGAGAAGCCCTCAACTCTGTTTAAATACCTAACCACCACGTCCCTCTTTTGGGACGGCAACCCACCAATCCACGCAATGCATGGCCCCCCCACACCCACCAGGCTTGCCTCATGGCTTAGTGCCAATTCTTCAACAAGCTCAAGGGGCTTTTGCATGGCCATGTACCTTAGAATAGTAAGTGACCACTTCATTTCACCAAAGACTTTTTTTTTTTTTTTATTCCAACACCCATGCTAACCATGCTATCCACGTCAAGCCCCTTTTTTATATACGTCTAAATTTACTTGGTGCAACATAATAGCCATCTCTCGTACATGAAGCACCATGCCCCCTTGTAGTGGCCACTAGCCACCACTCGACCTTGTGGCCATTTGGAACAAAACTACATGGCATGGCATGGCATGATCTGATATATGGCTCGGCATGCCAAGCCATCATAATGACTTGGCTACAAGATCTTCAAATCAAAATTTAACAACTCTAAATCAAAGTTGTTACTTATATATATTTTTTTTTAGCCATAGTTAGCTACTATTTATTTATTTAATATATAGGCATATATTTGATTTATTTATTTATTTAACATGGCAAGGAGTGACAGAGTCACTGCTCTCCATTGCCTTTGGCAACAACTAATGTGCCAAAGGTGTACACCCACTGCCAAGTCCATGGATTAAAACATGCAAGCCATCCATATACCACATGCCTCTTTTCCTCCATGGAACATGATTCTCCATTCATTAATTTTGAATCTTCTAACTTACCAGTGGGTGGTATATGATCAGCATGTCTAGCCTTGGTGGCCTTGCATGGGGTCTCATGCTCATATGCTTTAGCCACATCACTTGACATGTCAAGACGACCATGGGTTTTCCTCTGCCTTGGTTTCCTCATGGTTGAGACATGCTTACTCTCCTCATATTGTTGGAGATGATGTCTAGTCTTGACAAGTTGGCGACCACCCATGTGGCCCACTTGACTTTGTCTTTCAACCTCCAAACCTTGTTGGCTCCTACCCTTAGCACACAACCATCCTTGGTTCTTTGTGAGGCCATGTCTGGTTTGTGCGTATGATACCTTCTTATGCATGCCCCTATGGCCATCATTCATGATTGATGGCATGTACTTACTACTCATGGACATAGACTTGCCCCCTTGTCCACACTTAGCCAAACTTGCATACTTATCATAAGCATGTGTAGGTTGGAATTCTTTTAGATTCTTGGACATGCCCCCTACTCCATTATTCATGGTGGGTGACATGCCTCCTTGCCCATACTTACCTAAATTTTCAACACTACGAGAACTCTTTTTGGTTTTCCCACGTCTTTTCTGGTTGGACTTGACCCCATGTCCACTATTTGTGATGGGTGGCATGCCCTCTTGTCCAGACTTAACCATATTTTTACACTTATAAAAGCCATGGGTGGCTTGGAACTGTTGTGTCTTCCAAGACATGCCCCTTACTTCATACTTCATGATGGGTGACATGCCCTCATGTCCAGGTTTAGCCATGCCCCCATGTCCAGGTTTAGCCAGACTAGCATGCTTATCATATGCATGTGTGGCTTGGATTTCATATGGCTTCTTGGACATGCCTTGTCCATACTTGGCCAAATTTTTAAATCTACAATAACTTTTTATGGGTTTCTCACGTAGTGACTTGTTAGATATGCCCTCGTGTCCACTCGAAGTGGTTGGAGGCATGCCCCCCTTTCCATACTTAGCCAAATTAGTATGCTTAGCACAAGCATGTGTTGCTTGTGATTGACGTAGCCTCTTAGACACCGCATGCCCCCCAGACGGACATCTCGGGTTCAGCTTGTGGGAAGTTAGACTTTCATGCCCCCCTTGCTGAACTCTTGGTGTTTTGAATCCATCAGAATAGCTTCTTTGTCTACTCAATAGGGGTGGCTTCGGGGGTGGGCAAGCATGTGGTGGTACTTGTTCCACATTGAATGGATCTTCACCATCTCGTCCATTGACAAGTGTCTCATCTGATCTTGTCTCGAGAACAAGCGGTTGAATATCACCTTGTACATGCAAGACCCCATGATTGGTGTTCAAAGTGGAGGTGGACCTCTCACCATAACCATCACATTGAGGGAGTGGTTTGCTTGCCACTGGAGGTGACAAGCTCTTCTGCCATAGTTGGCCATTCTGGTCATTATCAGAAGAGTTTGTACCATCTAGTGGCAAATCTCTTGATTGAACCACTTGCTTTATCAAAAGGTGTTTCAAATCATTGAAATCATCATTATTTTTGTTAAACAACTCTATAAGTTGACTTAAACGATTATCTAGATGAGAAGTGAGAGATGCTAGGCGGAGGCTTACTTGTTGGGCACCACAATGAAGGCCGACTAGGCATCCCTTCGAGGAATAACGATGTTCCTCCATGGCACGGACGTTCTCCACCCTCAACATGCGGTTCTCCTCCATGGCTTGACGGTTCTCCGCCATCATCTTGCGGTCTTCCTCCAATATTTTGTGAAGTAACTTGATGTTGGTGGTTATATCAACACTTAGTGCCGCCGGTGACGAAGTCTTCACCACGCCATTGTTTCCGGCAAAATCCTTCATCTCTTGGCCAAATTCAAACTTAGCCACGTGCTTCTTCACAAGCCCAGGCAAGAGATCACCTTCTTGTTGTCTCTGTCTTGGAGCCATCAAATCAAACACAAGGTCCCACCAGGTGTGCCAAATTTGTTTTCCGGTGAGAAAACTTGCGTTGAATTGAGATGGATTGCACCTTTGACTTCTTTGGACAACGATTACTAAGACACGGCTCACACCTCTTCAAACAAAGTTCGAACGAGGGTGTTTGATTGATGGTTTCTGGGAATGAAAAACTAAATTAAGTTACTTCTACTCCTATGGAGGTTCGGCGAGAGCTCCAAACTACGAACTACATCTATGGCTACATGATAGAGAAAAGGTAAAGGATAAACTTGACATGTGTGTCAGTTGTGTTGGTCTTGGCCCTTTGTCTCTGTCGACCCCTCCTCTTATTTATAGCCACGAGGAGGTAACCGCCATAGAAAACCGCTTGTTGGATAACTGCTACTAAGAACCGCTCCCCCTTCTTCGGTAGAAAACCGCCTCTTGGATAACTCCCAAAAAGAACCGCTCCCTGCTTCCACGGAGTGGTGGTTACTCCTTCAACTTCCTAGGGGCTTCTCTTGTAACCGTCGTGGGTCTTGGAGTGTAACTTACCTCGCCTGGTCTTGTTCTGAATCTCCTGTCATGCTAGTCTTTTGATAAGCATGTGGTGTCTCACAGAGGGGGTCGTGGTCTTCTTGCCTCGCGGCCATGGACTTCTTACTCATGTCCATGGCCTTCTTGTCTTACGGCCATGGACTTCTTACTCAAGTCCATGGCCTTCTTGTCTCGCGGCCATGGACTTCTTACTCATGTTCATGGCCCACTTGGGACTTAGTCATTACTGATATAGTGCTCCACCACCACGCCCTTCTCATTCGTGTCCATGGCCACTCCTGTGAAGTGGCATGGACTTCTCAATCATGCACAAGGCCCCTCTCATGAGGCGACATGGTCTTTCCATACTTAGTATTTTCAATCATTTCTAATGCTTCTTGCTTCGCGTCCATGGCCATCACATGACACGGCCATGGACCTCTTAATCATGCACATGACCCTTCTCGTGAGGCGGCATGGCCTCTTCCAGACTTAGTTTATTTTTCAGTCATTCAGTCTTGATCTTGGGGCGGCATGGCCTCTCTTTAGACTTAGTGGCTTGGGCCTAAAATCAATATCCATAAGGCCCAACTGAAACAACATTAATTGTTATAATGGGTGTGGCCTTATAAACTCATTAATTATCTTGTAACTCACCAATGTGGTACAAGACAAAATTTATGGTGTAAACACTACCTCTCGTTGCCGCTCGTGCACCTCTAGTCCCAACTCGTCGTCACCGCTCGCTGTGCCTCTATTGGCTCGTCGCCACTCATCTCCGGCGCGTGCCAGAGGAAGTGGCATGAGAAAGACGGTCAGAGGAAGACAGTCGGTGAAAGCAAAGATGGTGCTCGAAAAGCACAAGTGAGATATAGGGAGAAAAAAGTGTAGTTAATGTAGAGTTTGAATTCTAAAAGAAAATGTAATTAATATGAGTAAATTTGTCAACCCTACCATATCTCATCAATAGGGAGAGGGAGGGCCCTTTGCCCTTGTCCTAGGACAGGAGTGATTTTTTTAGAGGGAAAAAATAATCTCATATATGTTTGACGGAAATAAAAAATAATATAAGAATGTTTTGTCACTACCATAACTCATTACTTATTTATTAATTAATGAAATATAATTAATTAATTGGTTTCATTCGTGATACTACTATTCGACAACAATTTGGTTGATATTATCATTATGTTATGGCTTATGAGAGATTTGTTGGATGGAAATGAATTGATAAATTATCTCAGATCATGGTGGAGACAAAAGTGCATAAGTTTTATCAGTCAGTATATGTAGAAAGATCATTTTTACATTAAGCTATATTAAGAACAAGTTTCGAAGTCAAATTGACGATCAATTTGTTAATGATTGTTTAGTGGGATACTTTGAAAGAGGCTCACTTAAGAGTGTAAACAATGAATGTATTTTATAAGTTTTTCATAATATGAAAACTCGTTGTGGTTGTTTATGCAAAAAAATAATTGGATTAATCGGTTATTTCTTTATCTAGGAAGGAATTATTTAGATATTATTCATTTAAATTTTATTTATTAAATATTTATATATTTAAATTATAAAAAAGGATAGGGTAGTTTCGAATCCTGCATCCACCACCGATAATTTCCCTTCCCATGTTCAGGAAAAGAAACAAAAGCGCCATTGATTCCAGTCATCACATAATTTCACACAAAAAGATATTCATAAGCTAACATTTGTGCTCCTTGTTCCCCTCATCTTTTGGGGAAGGGGAGTGGTTTACAACTCACATAATACCAACCAGACAGGATATGACAGCTTTCATCTTCTTATCCTTCCACACTAATGACTAAGTCTAAACTAAACAGAATGTCCATCCCCAGCCGTAGCATTTAAAGGACAGTTTATCTTGGGCTTGGGCTACCCACCATGGACTCTGAACCACTAAGCTAAATGGGCTGGACTGCTGCACTTATTCTATAGCTATACCACCCCTTTTTTCCTTCATTCCAACGACGAATGGGATAGGACATAGGTGGTGCATAAACAATTGATACATATGGTTGCAGAGCTTTTGCCTGTCATATGAAAACCAAATTGTGGCAACTACGGTCACATGGATACGCACAGTCGACAGCTCTCGCTGATGAACGTCCAAAATACCAATCCCCGACCGCTAGAGCAATAGCCTGCAAATCAAACCCTTTTCTTGGTTAACCTCAACTAGCTAGCCAGACAGATAAGCAGATCAAACAGCGACAACAAGAGCAAAACAAACCATGCAAGTAAAACTACTAGTATTGAACTTCAGAACCTAGCTATCATCGGTCACCTTATTCCGGATGGCAGGAGAATAATCCGCAAACCAGGTATCCTGTCTTTCAGTTTGGCAGTGGGCGAAGCACGAGTTTATGAACATCCCGTTCGCCTTAGACATTGAGAATCTTCTTACGGTTCTCAACATTCGATACCTGAACCCTAGTTTGTTTGAAAGAGTGACTAAGTCAGGCTGATCAATCATCATGTCCGACCAATGTGTTCGTATCCAACTAGAAGCTAGCCATGTTATTAGGTACCTTGCAGAAATTTGATCTGTGATGGAGTACATTTTGCATTGTTCTTTCTACAACCATTCCAGTAGCCACGGGGATCAGCAGATGGTGGAGCTAAACTGGACTGGATCTAGCAAAACCAACCAACAAGCATGCACATATTCAGCTCATATTATATAAACAAGTCTCTTTCTGGAACTCTTGGGGAACAAGATAATATTTGGTAGGGCTCACCTGCCACGAATCATAAGCCGCGTTGAGAAGGAACAGCGGTGTTTTCACGGTAGCAATTATGTGCTGAGGGAAGAAGCACTGATGCAGCAGAAAAGGTGGCCAGTTCCCGCAGTTAGCTATTCTTCAAACTAGACGAATGCCTGAGCCAGACCCCAAAATATAGATGGAAATGGAAGAGAACAACTTGATAAAATGAAAGGGAGGCTGTGTTAGGAATGCCATACCAGAGTTGGATTCAGATGGCTGGTGCACAGACGAGGCAGATTCTTTCCCACCCCCTGTTAATGTTGCAGCTCACAACTTCAGATTGCAACAAGGCTTAACTTAACTAGACTGGAGAGGTATAAATAGAGGAGAAAATCAACAGATATTGTGCCTGAGACCGTACCTGCAACCTCACTACACCACTGTACAAGTTCCGGAGAGTATGGAACCCAGCTACGTCGGGTCTGTTCAAAAACAAAAGCCAGAACCGAGTCGTTACCAAGCAAATAAGTAACAGGCAATCTCAGTCCTTGAATGACTTGAGCTTGAGGCAGAGAAGTGAAACCGAAGCATTGATTAGAAGGACAAGGTTAAAGAAACTTGCGAATCAAGAAACAGGCCAGCATCACTCAGGCACTTCACTTTGGTTGTCCTGGGGAACAATTCCCTGAACTCGTCGCAGTGTAGAATAGCAGCCAGGCCCCCAGCCGAGCATCCTGAAAGAAGAGCCTGAAATGCAACCATGCACCCTCTAGTCACTTACTAGCTACAGCCAGTTAGAGGGAAAGGCGTGATAAATCAAAGAAGACAGACAGAGAAAAGGAAATGAATGAAAAGAAAAGAGAGACCTGGTGGGCATTGCGCATTCCCTTTGACAAAAGATCTCGCATTGCAGCTACCCAAATGCGCTGTCCTCTAAATTGCAGCCGTGCTGCCTAAACATTAAAAAGACCAGAGGGAAGTCTCATGTCAATCAAAGTGCCATTCAATGTCAACAAGTAAGTGCATTGCTAAAAGACATCAAATTAGGTAACAAGGGCAGGCAGAAGCCAACCTTGTTTTCACTGTCGCCGAGAAACGAAGCACCATCACAGTACCGTACCTTCACTCGATTCCAGTTGAAAAAATCTGTATTCCCAAACAAACACAGGGAAGTTAGCCAGGTGACTCTAACGTGGAAGTTGTACCAATTATCATGTTAATGTCTAAACAGAATAGAATACACATAGTACAAATTCTACAGAGTGCAATGATGGGCAACAATAAGTAACAAACCAGGGTTTAGTTCAGCTCTATTGCTCAAGATCCCCGTAAAGGCCAAGTGCTTCTCCATGTATCTAGATGACCCACGTCTTGTAGTTTTGCGGTAAACACAGGTTCTAATGCTGTTGCACCACCCTCCTCCCTGCATGCACAAGGGTAAAGGGAAACCAAATGAAATGTGAGTTCTTTTTCGCTATAAGCCAGAGCCATTGAGTTTCCATTACGAAATCCTACTTTCCAGCTTTTCACTCCAATTAGGATAAAACAATCCAGTCAGTCAGTCAGTCACCCCAATGGTAGTGTCAGCTAGGGTTTATATGACAATCATGAGTCCCCTAAAAGAAACCAAAGCCTCAATGACTATCAGTATTAGCTATGTAGCAAGGGTACAAAACAAACCTCCAATTGGATGAGCCAACTGTTTGCTCCAGAGCCATATCCACGGTGTAAATGATAGCCAGGCAAGGTTCCATCCAAGCAAACTGTCATATTGATTTCAAAAGGAACAAGCAAATAGAAGCTCGGATTGATTAGTACACCAAGAACTTCAAATTACTCCATCGGCTGATACTGACAACAGAGAAGCAGATTAAGGAAGGGTGCCAACTAGCTAGCTACTTGCTGCTTCTGGGTTTTCCCTCTGTTAAGAGTGAGAGAGGAATCAAAAGCATAGAAGAATGATTACCAGCTCCTTCAGCCGCAGCTGCATGGATGAGGGTGAGACCGACCATTAACGGAGAGTAAACCGCTTTGGATTCATTACCGTGAAACTTGGAGGAGTAAACAGCAGTGGCATTGGTGTATACTAATGCCGCCTCTTCAGCTTCTTCATACGCTTGCTCCCCAGGGAAACACCCATTCGCCGCCGGTATCCCGACGACCACCGCCCAGACCCATATCATCAAAACCTTGCTCCTCCTCGACATTTCCCACAGAATGAACCTTTCAAATTCTCAAAATCAGTAGAAGAAGCAGGCGGCTAGAAAAAATGGAGATGGATGTGTATTGGCGGGAGGAGGAATGCCGCACAGAATTGAAGGGTAGGACCGGCGGGCGGCGGAGGGAGAGGGACCTGGCTGGTTTGCGTTTGCTCTGGCCCCTCTCCTGCTATGTGCTTGATCATCATATATATATAGTCAACAGGTACTACTGGACAACACTAGTGGGCTGCAACTTTCACTCTCTTTCTCTTTTTGTAAATTTTGTAGTTTCACCAAAATTACAGCTCTTGCGCTTCGTCGCCGCAGTGAGCCAAGGTAAGATAGGTGCAGAAAGATGGAGAGCAAGAGGTAGACAAGGAAAGGCGTAGAGTGGAAGAAGAAGAAGACAAGTAAGGGAAGCAAACGGGGAAACTCAATGTTTTTTTGTCACATCTCCCTCTCCTGTAATCCATCCAACAATTACATACCGTTTTTTATAAATGAATTTAATAAGTTCTGTGAAATTCATTCTTAAATGAAATCTTTTTGGTGTTTGGTATTTAAAAGAATTCATTTTCAATTCTAAATTTTGAATTCTACAAAATTGGAGCAAGTTATAGCAATTTCGAGGAATTGAGATAGAATTTTCAAATGAATTCCACAAGTATTTACTAATTATATTAGAATTACATAGTTACCTTATTTTATTAACTAAATTACTTATATATATATATGACATACCAACACAAGAATTCATTTGACAATGAATTCTACACGACACTTTATTTTATTTCTAAAGATTTGAATATAACATACCAAACATAGGATTTCATTTGTCAATGAATTCTACACGATAATTCATTTTACAATGAAATGAATTCTCGATTCATTTGGTACCAAAAGAAGAAGAAAAATGAACAAATTTATTATTTTTAATTACATGTAGCAAAAGTGGATAAATTTATATGTAAAACATCTAATAAATTCTGAAAATAAATTAGTTGGTAAGGTACTACCGGCAGTCACCAATGATTATAGTTCAAATCCATCAAATCAGTGGCGAATACATGATGCTTTGTCGGGACACCCTAAAATTTGGAAAAACGATTATCCAACCCGCTAGTAGTAGTTTCGTATGGATAAAAAAAACATAATTGGTAATTTGGGACACCCCTAAAATTAAAATAAAAAAATGATTATCCTACCCTCGATAGTTGTTTGAGTATGATTAACAATATATAAGTGGTGGTTTATGTTATTCAAACCTAGTACACTACTGTTATTAAACATATTTTTTACTAGGTTGTAACTCGTTTTTTGTTCTATTTAAACACTATGTAATAGTAAAAATGTTATTCTTTATCCCCAAATATTTTTATAATCTAACAATTTAATTAATTACAGGCTACCCCTAATTTGAATTGATTTTATGGTTACATGGCACATGTTAAAAAAGTCTTTTCAACTTTGAGTTACATCAAGAACATGGTTAGAAATAGAATATGCGATTAGTTCATAAATTACTGTCTAGTAGGATATACAGATTTGTTGAGCAGTGTAGACACCGAATCTGGCATTTTGTTAAATTTTGTACCAGATAGATTTTTTTTATTTTTGAATTATTTAAGTTAAATTTTTAATTTAGTTTAATTTTTGGAAGAGGACACCTCTACGAAAAATTTCTGGATCCGCCACTGCATCAAATCTTCATTGTTTAAGTTCCCTCGTTCAAATTTATGGTTCCGCCACTATTGTCATGCTTATTATTTATAAATACAAACCGAATTCCAACTGAACTAGAGAGTAAGATTACAGAAGAAGAGGGGAGAAGACTGCAACGTGAACGTGGTTTTGATAAGGGATGACAACGGGCCTGGTGTCCCTTAACCAAATCTAACCCAACGTAGTTCATCATAAAAAAAAATGGTAAAATACTCACTGGATTTTATAACAACAAAGTCAATCCAACCCAACGGGTATCCATGGATTTACAAAAAAATAGTTGCACATTATTTCTCCAAACACCTATATCGCAACACTACTGAAATTTTTCCTACAAATATATCTCTATAAAGACTAATAACATTCATAAATTATCTAAAATTATTACAAATAAGTAATAACATCCATAAATTATTCATGTTGATCATATTAGATAGAAAATGACATTATTTCGCTTTTTGAGTACGAGTCGGGTGGAAAGCTAAAATCTAACCAAAATCTATCCATACGGAGTTTTACACGCGTTTTGAATTTTGATTGGATTGGATATCCGTGAGGTTGGATTCAATCACACCAACACCATCGCTAGTTGTGATGGTGACCGGTGGGTCTGGTTCAGCAAGTGGCTCTGGTACTATGTTTGTTTTGATGTTTAGAGTCTTTAGACTGTGTACTGTGCGGATGATCCGGCTTCTTTTCCTTTGAATGGTTTCTTCCTTTTGGATTTGGCTAAATTACACATTTGGTCACTCGAATTATACAAATCTTTCACGTTTGCCACCCAAATTACTTTTCTTTCTTATTTGCCACTAACTTTACAAATCATTTCACCGTTAGTCACAGGCCGTTACACTCCGTTAAATTTGTCCTACGTGGCAGTCAACTATAAAGTTTGACCGTTAACTAGATGATGTGGAAATTAAAAAAAAAATTATTTGTCCACCTCATCATTCCACTTACTTACTTTATATATATATATGATTTATCATACCATTTATTCAATAAAAATTAATTAAATTAAAAAGAATATATATTACGTTCTTCAGTTGCAGATATATTAATATATGTAACTCCAAACTCTCCATTCTTCTCGTCACTCCTCCGACAATGACGACATCTCCCGATCTTGTCTCTCCCTCCCAGACCACTTGCGCCTCTCTCCTTCCCCAGTTGCAGCGGCGTCACACTCACATTCATCCTTTCAGCCTCTTTCTGTTGCATGCTCAATCTCAGACCGACATTCAGTCTTCAAGCACTAATCTCCCCCAACAACTATGGTGGAGACTCCTGACCCCGCCGTCGACGGAAAACCAGCGACAGTTTCCGTCGAAAACCAGCGACAGTGACAGATCTGGTTCTCAAATCAGCCACCCAGACCGATCTGCTTCATCTCCGGCTCCCTCCGGCACCATCCCGATTTACGCCCACCACTTTCGCCTCCTCCTCTCCCTCCCGATCGACCACCGACAGAATTGTCTCGAGGAATGACCCCTTTCGCAGCCAGTGGACAGATCTGGTTCTCAAGCATCCACCGCAGTCGGCGAGTATGAACCAAAATCTTTGATAACCAACAAGAAGAACTCAAAAACAACTAATTGATGATGGAGACTGCGAATTGAATGAACCCTCCATTCAGATCTAGTCACTTCCGCCTTCGGCAGATCTGACCTCTTTGTCGTTGACTTCAAATCCGGGGATAAGATAAGTCATCGTCGTTTCACCTTGACGTTTTCTCTTTCTCAGCCACATCCTGACCATCATCTGGGGACGGCGGTGGTGCTGGGGGAGGAGTGGGTGGTGGTGGCGGCAGCCTAGGTGGCGTAGTAGGGGTTGGGTTCGGCGATGGGTTGGCGCTGGTGAGGACTTGGGATATAATTTAATTAAATTAAAAAATAATTAATTTGAGGATGACAAATCATATATATAAAAAGTAAGTGGAATGATGAGGTGGACAAATAACTTTTTTTTAATTTTTTTTTAATTTCCACATCATCTAGTTAACGGTCAAACTTTATAGTTGACTGCCACGTAGGACAAATTTAACGGAGTGTAACGGCCTGTGACTAACGGTGAAATGATTTGTAAAGTTAGTGGCAAATAAGAAAGAAAAGTAATTTGGGTGGCAAACGTGAAAGATTTGTATAATTCGAGTGACCAAACGTGTAATTTAGCCCTTTGGATTTATTGAATTGAATTGAATTTCCTGGAATCTAAAACTGTAATATGCAGGTAGGCTTGTTTGTGTTGTGTGTCTGTGTGGTTAAAATATGATAAGACAGACACAGGTCCATTTGCAGTCGCAGAGGAGTCACGTTCCGGAAGCTACATCGATTGAACGCAGAATTTCTTCGTTCAATTAAATAGTGGCTGGACAGGGGAATGCTGGCCGGAAGGAAATACATCGCCAATTAATGCGCCCAAACCTTAACTTCTTTCAGTAGTTTATTACTATGGATCTACTTAGAATTGCGTTGAGGATAGATAACACATAAACCCAACACAGTCGGTAATTCTTCCTTCTAAAAGGGTTGGAAAAATGGATCGATCGAAAACAACGTATCAACCGGGATGAGATAGTATGTCTACCTCTAAAAGGGTTGGGAAAAAATAACACTCCCTATTAATTATAGATTTTTAAGATAATTAATTTGTGTTGCATTTAATAATCTGTATGAATTAAAAAAACACATATTAATTACTTTCCTTTTTTCAGTGCATTGGTACTTGCAGTGCAATAGTATTAGTGTACATGTGCAATTGTAGTTCAAAAAATGGAACGTAATTAATATGAGTTCGGTATACAGGTGCAATGATAGTTGTATCAGTGCAATGGTAATTAAAAAAAGGAATTTAATTAAGATGAGTTTTTAATTTCCAAAGATTATTAAATACAACACTAATTTAATACAAAAAAATAACTATAATTAATAGGGGTGTCATTTTTCCAACCCTTAGAAGGGTTAGCATGCTAACCGATCCGTATACCATTGAACAACCGTACCGAGTACCGACGGTTCAATTAGTAAAATCTATTAGCGAAAGTGAAATCGAAAGATGGCACTGTTGGTACATATCAATATGAAACAGTTGAATTACAATTAAATCATAATTTCACAATAAAATACTCTAACGAATATGTTGACAATTGGGTCGGATCTTCGGCTCTGGCACTGGGCCCGCACTTAACCCATCTTCATCAGCAGCGCAACATGTATTAAGGAAGAGCAGCTGCGGGCCCCTGGGGTGGGCCGGGCCTGCCTTTATTACTTGTACAAGATTGCCTCTCTCTCTCTCTCTCTCAAACGCACTCGATCGATTTACTTGCGTATTGGCTTCCAGTTCCACTATCTATATTGGAATCTATTATTTTCCTTTTCTCATGGACTGTGAAGCGAATCCTTTTTTGGGATTTTGGAGCTATGGGGAAGTTGTGGGTTTTGGTGTTGCTGGTGATGTCGGTGAAGGAAATCAAATGAGAGAGTTGCAGGGATGATCCGCAATCAATGATGAAACAACAAACAGCAGCAGCAGCACCACCATTATCAACCTCTGCAGCAACTCAGCCTGACCCACATAGTAAGATTCCAAAAACAACCCACTTCTTTATTTTTGTGCATGACACATTATCACGAGTCCAGACAGTAAGACAATTGGAGCAAGATCGTATCTAGAATTGCAATGAAGAAAGAAGATGGAAATATTCCCACATATATATGAAGTTCGAATCCACAACTAACAACCTAATCCTTGTAATTTCAAGATCGTATCTAGAAATTTACGAGTGTAATGAAACCACGAACGAGGAGTTGAAAAAGACTTGATAGTTGGGTCAACGATGTGGCAGAATACGAAATCATTGACACAAAAAAACGATTTACAAAAGAAATAGGCCGAAAATACAAAACACCAACCCTCCCCACAAATTTCAGGTGTCCTCCTATCTGCTACTTCACTGTACACACATACACTGTTTACCTTCCCTATCAACGTAGAACCAACACCTTACCACTTATATTTCTCCTTCCATTACAAATCACTATATGAACAAAATGGGGAAGAAAGAAAAAATTTGAAAAGAAAACATCATGGACCCTTCCATCTTCCTACTGATGAAACTCGAAGGTAACAACCAAAAGAAACTAGAACAATGACCATATGAACCTATCCAATACCGATATGCACATACCGAGATAAACCAAACTCAAGAATCGATCCTCTAATAATACGAACATAAACGAATTGGTAACCAGTTATTCCACCCCCTCCATTCCCCTTCCATCTCAGATCTCACCCTCTTAGCTCTTGTAGCTTTTGTCAAGTGTGTGAGCTGGTCTCTCCATGAATCGCGTTGTTTGTTTCAGTCAAGAGTTAAGACCTCCTGCTCTCGCCTCCCGGTGCTAATGGACGGTCGCTATCTGAATTCTCCTTTTGAGATTCTATCTCCATACTACCTCCCGGGGCTCTTCGATGTCTTCTATCCTGATAATGATGAAACGGAATTTCAACATTCATTTTCAGTCTACAAGAGTGTTTTTTATATGATAAGATCAAAACAAGAACACAAGAAATGGAGGACATGGCAGAGTTGAGAGAGGATAATATTTATCAACGTCACCTCTCTCGGAACAGGATATTCCTCGGACTCCAGCATTCTTACAACTTGCCCCATCTTTGGTCGTTTCTCAGAGTCTGGATCCACGCATCTCAAAGCAGTCAAAAGGGCTCTCTTCAGGTTTCTTGTTGATGGTTTTGTCTCCATGTTGGGGTCTACAACTTCTTCAGACATCCTGCTCCCCACCATCATTTTCAGCCAATCTACAAGATTTACCTGAAACACAATCACAATCACCCTTAGTTCCACATAGTAGAGTTCATGTTCGGGGGCAGAATTGAAAACTTTTACGAGGCAGGAATGCACTTGCTTGCTAGCTACAGACTACAGTTACAAGCTTGAACAATGATTGTTTCAGTGATCACTCAGAATGCAAATGGCAAATGTGAAAATGCAAATCACTGCGTACCTCATGTTGGGGACGACTGTAGTCCACGGGGTCTCTTCCCGTGATTGCTTCTAAGAGCACAACCCCAAAACTATAAACGTCGCTCTTTTCGTTCAGAAGGCCACTATTGGCATATTCAGGAGCCACATATCTGCAACGTTTTTCATTTCATTGGTTTAGAATGACATGTACAATTCAACAAGCACTACAGCGAATCAAAAACCCTTGAAGAATAAATGACCGACCCGAAAGTTCCCATCACTCGAGTAGTGACATGGCTCTTTCCAGCTCCAAGCAACTTGGCCAACCCAAAATCAGAAACCTTGGCGTTGAAGTCATCATCGATTAATATGTTGCTAGATTTAATGTCACGATGCACAACTTTTGGCTCAATGGCCTCGTGCAAATAAGCAAGCCTGCAAAAAAAAAAAAAACCATGCCATAGCATATCCTGTAAGAATGAGCATAAAGGGGAATAAAAACACATATTTCATCAAACGAAGGTGAGTAGACATCTTACGCCTTGGCTGTGCCGAGGAGAACTTTCATTCTGGCCTCCCACGTAAGATATCCATGGTGAGACATGGCTCCATGAAGCCACTGTTCCAAGTTTCCGTTGTTCACATACTCATAAATCAACATCCTGTACGCATGAGGACAAAAATTGAAGAACAGAAATCTAAAATTAATAAACGTGAGGCTGCAAGCTGCCCAAAGTTAGAACCTTCACTCCTCTCACACTATCGACTCCTTTATCCACCAGTCGTTTAGAGGCTGCAGACCCCAACCGGCAGAGAAGAAAAGGGTCAAGGACTCAAGGTCCTTAGTTTGGTTTGGAGAAGATATTAATATTCATAAACTTACTGATAACGGAGTTTGTCATAAGGGTTGTAGAATACCAAGTATGGTAATAATCAATAGAACAGTTACTGGTGTTGTACATAGTTGGCTCTTGGTATTCATGAACTAACTGATGAAGAAGTTTGTCATAAGGGTTGTGGAATACCAAGTTTGCTGATAATAGTAATTGGAGCTTTTTACTTATTTGGCTCTCTAGCCTTGATTGTTATAATCAGGTTTACCGTTGTTTTCTGCCTTGAGAAGGAAACGCATGGACAAGCTAGGTGACTAGTCTTGCATCAGATAAGAATACTAGTAATAATATTCAAGCTTTTCTGATCTGGCATTTTACTGAGCTTAGAAGGAATTAGTGTTGTGAGTAACTACAAGATCATGAATGGGATTAGCTGCCAGCCTTGCCACAGCCTTGTCTAAGCCAATAAGCTAAGGGACGGTAGGTTTGGCACTGGCCATAAGGAATACTAGTTTCTTTCTAATACATATCTCCTTTAATGTAGTTTTGAATACATAATACATTGTTACTAACTAAAATTACATGTACGTTTCTTTCTGAGAAATAATGAAGTGCCAATAAAGAGGCTTTCAGTGAAATTTGGGCAAGGGCTGGAAGCTCATTGAAAAACTCCTACATGAGCTTTTTCATGTGCTTATCCTTATTTCGTTTGTTGCTGATAACTTTTTTTACAGCTACCATTATTCATTTCTGTATTTGGATTTGTATTATTAGTTTGTTTGGTTTAGCTGATAATAGATTGATGATATGTCAAATTGATTGATATTGTATTCTATTGCAGCTTCGACCTTCTGTAAAACCGCAGAGAGTAACAAGGAGAGGGAGCAAATTCTAGAGTGTCAGATTTTAGTTTGCTATTAACTAGCAAATATATCTGCTCACTTCTTTCTTTTATTCAGTGATATTTGTTTTGCTTTCACAGTAGAGATACTGAACTCTCACATTCTATCTATTTCATAAGAACTAGGAATTAGGATGTCCATCTAAACCATTAAATCAGCCCCAAACTTCAACATAAGGTTACTTCTCTGTTTCCCTACTTTGCTCGTGTTTTCCCAATCTTTTGGCTGTATCCCCTAATTGATGCTGAGAGTTTGTGGTTCCATATATTTCTAGTATCTTATTCCGACAAATATCACATGGACTTGGAGAGCTATTTACTATTCTATTTAATCGATCTTAAAAATTACAATCACTTTTGAAGGTTTTCCTATTTCCTAAGTTGAACAAGTGAATACAAACAGATGAGTATTGCCAATTATTTGCGCCCATTACCAAGCACTGCCAATTTATCACATTAAATGACTCGGCCTTTAAATGATTCAGGAACAAAGAAATGTTAGCTTACAAACAAAAGAGAAACAGTTTTGAAATAGTTTCGTAGCCATGCAGTTTCATCATACGGTAAGACTGCTCTTGTAGCAACATGGGCCAATTAACTAGTGGTAACTAAAAAGGCAGTCTTTCACTCTTTCTACATTATTGCAGAGTTAAAGAGAAGGCGAAAGAGTACCTGTGCGTGCCTTCTATGCAATACCCAAGAAGACGAACCAAATTCTTATGGCGGACATGCCCAATCGCATCAACTTCAACTCTGAACTCCTTCTCAGCTTGGCCCCTTAAAGAACAGAACAGTAACTAGCTATAAGGTTCAGGCAAAATGGCAAATGAATGTATAACAAGCTGACAAAAAAAAGCACACCCACAAGTTGTTGAGAATCTTCTTGACAGCAACGGGAGTGCCATTGATGAGATTTCCACGGTAAACAACTCCATAACCGCCCTCGCCGAGGATATTCTCTTTGGAGAAGCGGTTGGTAGCCAATTCAAGGTCCCTGAGTGTAAACCAATGACCCCAACCCAAGTGAGAGAATTCAGGGAGCCCACTGAGCGGAGAAGGAGCAGTGATCGGGTAGTGTTGTGAAGCAACAGAGGAAGCCCTGTAGCCGGTGCCAGCTGAGCTGCCGTCTTGATCACCAGAGAGGGAAACAACGCCGTCTTTGTCGTATTGGTGGAAGGAACCACCCGAGTGACTGCTGTTGTCACCATTGCCATTGGCGTTGCCGTTACCGTTCTTGGACTTGGGCATGCCGAGATGGACGAGCACCTTATCGGCATCCTTTTCGCTCGACTTGTCATGGATTGTCAGAAGGATTCCTTCACGAGGGACGAACTCATCGGTTGGGATTTGCTCCACTCGGACTTCCTTGATCTCCTTGGACACAGACGGGATTTGAGAGAGCGGAAGCTGCTGCTGGTTAAGGTTCGGGTGCGAGATTCTTTTGGTGGAGGAAGACTTCTTACGAGAGAGGTAGATGGTGACTGTTAAGATGATGATGGTGAAGAGTGCAATGCCAATGCAGATGAGCTCCCATAATTGGAGACCTAGAATAGTCTTCTGCGACATCTCCGATTTCAGACTGCCCGCCATTTTCCTGGATAGGAGAGAAAATCTGAGAGCCAAGAACAGAACAATGACAACTGCAGGAGTCTTGAGACAAGATCAGCTGCCTATGGAGGCATGCACTTGTGGCATACCTAGGACCAAGTAACATGGATTCCTAAGTAGACCATCAACTGCCACATAAAAAGCACCCACATGAAAGGGTCTCCGTGCTTACCTTGTTCCAAGGGTAAGACTATCTTAGGGAATTTGGAACATACACTTGATCTCTTCCCTGGTTGGAATGCAAGTCCTGCAGACAGAATAACAGAGCCACATTGCATTCAGAATGGCACAACTAATCAGTAGCGACCCAATTTACTTGAGTGAAAATCAGAAACATGAAACTCTTGGAAAAAAAAAACCAACTAATCAGTTACCTTAATAAGCTCCACAAGCTGGTCAACTCCAGTTTCTCGCCGGGAAATGAAGGTTGCAAAAATAAAAAATGATAGAACTATTGCTGATTGTGCTGGATTATGCAGACATATATCTAGCAAGCCTTGACTGCTCAAAGAAAAATATCACACTGTCCAAGCAGCAGCTCGGCAAGAACGCAGCTCGGCAATATAATCAATAGCTTTATAAGCTAAAGCGCTCTGCACTGTTTTTTGAGCAAATATAATCTGTGTGGTTCCCCCTTTCACCTGATGAAACCCAACAAGCAGAAAGTTAAAAAGACTGTAAATTTTGCACAAATTAGAACAAAAGGCAAGTGAAGAGCCATTAAGAAAGCACCAAAAGAAGACCTTTTCGCTGCCAAAAACCAGATAAAAATTAACCTGGTGTGAGTAAAGGATATACATACAGACGGAATGAACTGAAACAATAAAAATGCACACAGAGATCCGCATACAGCCAAAGAGAAAGAACAAATCAACTGGAGAAACTGAAGTTCATGTTTAGAGAATTGTAACAGCGGAAAGTAGCTCGGTAAGCAGCAATGACAGACGCAGCAAGCAAATATCCAGGAAGGAAAGCAAAGAGAGAATCAAAACCCAGCAAGATCTGTTCATATACAAGTCGATCTAAACCCTCCAAAAGCGGAGCGGAGAGAAGAGGGAAGATAGACAAGGAGAGCGTAGGAGTAAGGGAAGGACAAAAGTCAAAGGAAGAGAAATGGTGAGAGGCGAATGGGGAGGAGTAGGAGCTGCGACTTACCGGTGAATGCGGAAACGGCGATGAGGGGAAGAAGAATCAGACAGCGGAGAGAGAAAGAGAGGGAGACGATAGATCCATAGACGTTGCTGTTGGTGGTACTCTGCTGCTGCTGTTGCTGGTGGAAAGTTAATCGTCTAGTCACCTAATTCGCCTCTCTACGAGTGCGATTAGTTCGTCAGTGGACTGCCAAAATTTAGTATTTGACTATCTTCATTTCCATCTCCCAAGGAATTTGTTTCAAAGGTTCTCTAAATTCACGGAGTGTAGATTTGATTTCCAAAATTTACGGATTATACATTGTCGAAATTTTAGTATTTTCATTTACATGTTTTTTACTAAATTTATTTCGAAGTGGTCGTCTAATTTCTCGGAGCGTGATCTAAATGTAGATTTAATTTCAAAATTCACCATTTGTATTGTCAAGAGAAATCAGTCACACCTTATACATTGCTCGTTGAGATCCATTAGACTTTGTCAAGTAATCTACAAGTTGGTTTGCTAAAATGTTAGCAAACAAGTTGACCAGTATCATGTCTCGCATAATTTTAAAGTATCGTAATGGTTTCATTCAAGATTATCAAATCGTGGACCATATCCTCATTAACCATGAGGTCACCTGACATTTAGAAAATCATACCCGTGAGAAGCGAAATCTTGTGTAGTCCAAGAATTGGACTTGGAAAGCACATGTGCTGGAATTGAATGGTCTTACCTTTTTTTAAAATGACAAAGTCGTTGGGATTTGCCAACCAGGTTTATTTTTAATAGATTCACCACTATTTATTTCTCACAACAAGTTAACAAATCCTGTCATGTTTACTTACATCCCTCTCGAAGTCTTTGACAAGGAGATCTTATATTTCAATAATTATCTGCCATCTATTCAAAGAGACTTTTATGAATCCTCACTCAAACATATGAGTCTTACCACTTTCTACAAGAGTCTCCCCAGACTTGTACGAGACCCTACTTTCTCTTTTAAATTCATATGGAGCTCTTAATGGGCGTCGGAGTAATCTGGGAAAGTCGGTGATAAGTGTTAGCTCTTAATCAGACCACAGACTGCTCCTTATTAGCATTGGCTCTTATATGATTCCGCCCATTCAGTAGAGGCCATTTCGATTTCTCGCCCCCTGGCTGGCGCATAAGGATTTCACTAATGTCCTTGGCGTGGAAAGCTGGGGACCCGTATAACTTGTGTTTACAGGGTTTGACGCGGGAGCTCATCAAGTGGAACAACGTGGTTTTTGGTAATATCTTTGAATGTAAGAAGAAGCTCCAAAAGCGGCTACAAGATCTCGAGTGGAGGAATAATTTAAATCCTCGTGAAGCTACTTTGAAGGAGGAGGAGGCAGGCCGAGAAGAGCTAGAGACAACTCTCTGGCAAGAAGAAATGTTATGGTTCCAGAGGTCCAGATCCAAGTGCATTGTTGAGGGAGACAGGAATACTCGGTTTTTTCACATTGCTACTCTGGCTCGCAGAAACAGGAACCGCATTAAGACTTTGAGGGATGCAAACGGGGAGTGGATTACGGATCAGCAGGCTATCATTTTCATGGTGTGCCGATACTTCCAGAGTCTCTATAAGGCGGAGGAGCAGGAATATGAGAAAATCGAGTCAGATTTTCCATTGTTGGAGGATGGGGTGACCACCATGCTGAAGTTGGGTATCTCGGAGGCTGAAGTTTGCATGGCACTCCGGGACATGAAAGGATTTAAAGCTCCTGGAAAGAATGGATACCAAGAAGTCTTTTATCAGAAGTGTTGGCACACTATCAGGGAGCATTTTCTAAATTTTGTCTCCTCGTGCTTTTTGGATCCTTCTAAGTTTGAATTGATTAATGAGACCCTTATTACTTTGATTCCGAAGATTAACATGCCTGAAACGATCGCCCACTTTCGCCCTATCAGCCTCTGTAATGTAGATTACAGAGTGGTGGCAAAGTGTCTTGCTAATCGGTTGAAGGACTTAATGCCAAGATTGGTTGATCAGTCCCAGTCTAGTTTTGTTCAAGGTAGGCACATCACTGTTAATATTATTATTTTGCAAGAGGTTGTGCACGCAATGGAGAGCAAGAAGGGACAGAAAGGGCATATGGTCATCAAAGTCGACCTAGCTAAGGCCTACGACCGTATTGCCTGGGGATTTCTCGAAGAGACATTGAATGAAGTTGGGCTACCAACGGAATTTATTAGGGCGGTTATGGAATGTATATCCTCGACATCATTTTAGATCCTATGGAATGGCGCGTGTACGAAATCATTTAAGCCGTCTCGAGGCTTAAGACAGGGTTGTCCATTATCCCCATACCTCTTCACCCTTTGTATGGAGCGGTTGGGACATGTCATCTCGCGGGCGGTGGCTGTAGGGGATTGGAAGCCTTTCAAGATTTCTAAAGAGGGGCCTCTCCTCTCGCACTTGTTTTTGATGAAGATTTGATTCTTTTTGCAGAGGCAAATCTTAAGCAGGGGGATGTGATGCTCAGGTGTATTAACAGATTCTTTAATGCGTCAGGGGAGCTGATCAATAAGGATAAATCAAGGATCTTCTTCTCTCCGAACACAAGGAGGGAGACGTCTGATGCTATAGTTAAGGAGATGGGTATCCGGGCAACAACCAACCTCGGGAGATACCTTGGAGTCCCTGTGCTTCATGGCCGGATCACACGTGGAACTTATGGATATATCATAGAGAATATTGAAAGGCGATTGTCAGGATGTAAAAGGAAGTCGCTTTCCCTAGCGGGACGAGTAACCCTGGCTCTCTCTGTCCTTAATATTATGCCTTCTTACGTTATGCAGACTACTAAGCTACCAGCTCATATTTGTGAGTCAATTGACAGGAAAATCCGGGACTTTGTATGGGGCTCAAAGGAGGGCAAGCACAAAACTCACCTGGTCTCCTGGCAACACATTTGTCGTCCCAAGGAGATGGGAGGATTGGGACTCCGATCTGCTAAGGACCTTAATAGGGCGTATATGGTGAAGCTTGCTTGGCAATTTCTCAATAACCCTTATGAGCTTTGGGTGCAGGTGATACAGAATAAGTACTTCAGACGGAAGGATGGGGAGCTCCACCCACTCCGTGGAAAATGCCAGTCGACTCTCTGGAGGGCTATCCAAAGCGTCTGGCCCATCATGAAGCAAGAAGAAATGTCGAGTGTGAGGGATGGATGCTCAACAAGTTTTTGGAATGACATTTGGCTGGAGAGTGGTTTGGTTTTGGCTGATTATGTTACTGACCCTAGTTATTTTCCTGATCCTAGTATACCTGTGGCAGCTATGACAACAGGAGATGGTGGGTGGGATTGGGATATGCTTGATAGTATTCTGCCTAGGGAAATTTGCTCTCAAATTGCAGGAACTACACCACCTAGGGTAGAGCTTGGTGAGGACAGGAGCATTTGGAGCTTGGAGAAGGACGGGAAATTCAGTCTGAGGACAGCCTACCTGCTTGTTGCCGGATTAAGCGAGGAAGATGCGGAGCAGAAGTGAAAGACCATCTGGCGTTGGAAGGGGCCCAATCGCGTGCGACATTTTCTCTGGATTGCCTATCGAGATCGTCTACGTACCAACGTGGAGAGGAGAAGAAGGAAGTTGACGGATAACCCGAGCTGCAGCTGGTGTGCTACTAGTGAGGAGTCGACATTACATGTGCTGCGTGACTGTGGAATGGCGAGCGACGTGTGGAAGCAGTTGCTGCCACTAGATTTGCATCAAGAATTTTTCTCAAAATCCCTAGAGGTTTGGATGCAGACATACCTAAGAGAGGGAAGTGAAAGTTTAGAGTTTGGCATTGCGTGTTGGTACTTGTGGAATAGCAAGAATAACAGAATTTTTGCAGGGGGTCGGACTACAGCAGGAGTGTTGGTGGCACGCATTAAGGCTTGGGTGGAGATTGTACGTAAAGCACATGACGAGGAGATCAAGATTGGAGTTAGATCGGAGCCACGAAGAGTCGAGCGATTGCTGATGTGGAAACCGGCAGGTGAAGGATGGATCACTATCAATTCTGATGGATCGGTGCGTAATCCAGGCTCGAGGGCGGCAGCAGGTGGAGTCTTACGCAATCACTTAGGCAAATGTGTTGGCAACTTCATGTCCAACTATGGAAAGTGCTCAATCACGATGGCAGAGATGCGTGGTGCATTGGAAGGGATGCAGTGGGCGTTAAAGATTGGAGCCAGAAGGATCGAGCTGCAGACGAATTCGCAGGTTGTGGCAGGTATGCTTAAGGGGCCGATTGACCAAGCACACCGATATGCCCCTATGATCTATCAAGCGAAAGATGTGATGGGAAGTTTTACTGAAGTCCGGGTGGTTCATGTCTATCGGGAACAAAATTTTGTGGCGGACTTCTTAGCTAATAAGGGTCATGAGATTCCAATGGATTGCTCTGCAACTAATGTATCAGAGCCATTGTTAGATTATTGGTTGGACCACGATGTAATTGGTTTTTTGAGCCTCGTATGATTAATGGAACGGGTTAGAGCGCCCCGTAGCGCTCGTCTTTTCACCCAAAAAAAAGTACATTGTCTCAGGGTGCTCATGCAAGCCTATATTTATAAGTGTTGGATCTGTGTGGGCTCAAGACCTCTATTTTGCTCTACCTTTCATCGCCTTCAGAACTAATTGTGATGCTTTTTTAAGTGTCGAATATCGTCACATAAGCTACAATGTTGAGAACACTAAATAGAGAACCCCTTAATTATAGCTCTTGAGATCCATGCCAACTGTACATAAAGGAGGTTATGCACCAAAATCTCATCCCTTTTACTTGGTTGCTTGATTAGTGAATTAAAGCACTGTTCAATGATTAGATGATTCTCCACTGAGAATATTTTTTGAGACGTAAAATTAATAAATATAATACTCAATAATAGTATGAATTAACTTTAAAAAATCTAAGTAATATTGACAGAACAAAATAATATTATGGTTCAAACTTGGATTCAACAGCTTCGTCTATGCATATTCATGCCATGTAATGTTATGGTACAAACTCATAATAGATTTGTGGCGCAAACTAAATGGAGGTCGAGTCAAACTCTATAGAATTCGCCATGAGACCAACATCATCCATCTACTTGATCCTCCAAAAATCTTGTATTGAAAGACTTTCGACACAAGGATTTACAATGTGCATATCTTCTTTGATCTGTCAA